GCAGATATGTGAGGCAGATCCCAAAGTGATGCCTTTTGTTATTTGCAGATTTTTGTGATTTATTATTTTCTTGGTTTCCATGGAAACGATTCGGACTTATTCAAAAAAATAGTCAAGCTTGATTTTAAGTAACTTTCAGATGATTTGTTCTTTCAAATGTGGGGGCTGGGGGGATATGTCATCTTCTGATGACTCTTGTATCTTAATCTGTCAAACAATATGTTAGGCTACTAATATAGTGCAACACTCCAAGGTATGTCTGCTGTAAGTGAATGCTGTCCTGGGCCTAGATTTTCAAACTACAAGTTGCTCGAATGTGTTATTTGGCCATACCATTTTGCCCTACCGGGTACCCACTTACTGTAGGTGAACAGAGGTGAAATCAAACCATAACATTGCCTGTGGAAAAACTTGCTACTTATTGTGCTACAGTTTATCACATTGCTCAACACAAACAGTAGATTGTAAATCATCTCGGGGAGAATGAATTCAAACATACTCAGCTGACAATTCTTTACATACTTTGTGAAATAGGATGTTTGCAATATGTTTTGATTGTAACTATATACCTCCCTCATGTTTATACATGGGTGTATGATCTGACATACATCTTCCCTCACTGGTGAACAACTACATGTGCTCACTGGTTAAGAACCCTATTCTTCCCTTGGTTACAGATATATTTTTCCGCTGGTTACAACTATATTTCCTCTCTGGTTACACTCATTTGCTCACAAGTTACCGTCATATTCCTGTAAGGGTTAGCATCTGAATTCCCCAATCTGTTAACATCCATATTCTCAACTGTTTAGTAGCATTATTCTCCCACTGCTTAATGCTACGCTCCCTCAAACTTTCTCTCATGCTCCCCCACTGGTAACAGCTACATTCCCTCTCATGTTACAGCCATATTGCCCTACTGGTTACTGTTGCATACCCTCAGATAGCAGGTGTATTCTCACTGGTTACATCCATACCTTCCCCAGGTTAAATCCCATACTCTTCCGTTAAATCCATACTCCTGGGTTAAATCCATACTCTTCCCTGGGTTAAATGCATACTCTTCACTGGTTAAATCCAGCTTCCCGGGTTAATTCCATACTCTTCCCAGGTTACAATCCATACTCTTTCCCAGGTTTAATCCATATTCTTCCCCAGGTTTACTCTTCCCCGGTTTCCATACTCTTCCCCGGTTTAAGGTGTTAAATCCCGAATTCCTAAAATCCATACTACTCTCCCCAGGTTAAATCCATACTCTTCCCCAGGTTAAATCCATACTCTTCCCCGGGTTAAATCCATACTCCTGCCCAGGTTTAATCCATATTCTTCCCCAGGTTAAATCCATATTTCTCCCCAGGATATAGAGAATATTATATGAGTGCCCATTTCATACTATGTTTATGACACGAGTGCCTAAATATTGGTATTTCCCGAGAGAGAGTGAGGGATATACCGATTTTTAGACACAAGTGTCATAAACATAATATGATATGGACACGAATATAATATTCTATTTATTACCGAAGTCGACAAATAGAAGAAAATAAACCCAAATCTACTTCAAACATAGGCTGGTTACCCGCCGTCGCTGTATGTGGAACACAAAGTCACAGTAGAAAGAAGATGTCGTAGTATTGTTCATGACGTCACGTCACCATGACAAAGTCATATTTAGCCCTAGGGCATCGTATGCAAAATATGAACCCAATATTTTCGCCCCGGAGGTAATAAACATCTTTATTCTTCCCCAGGTTACATCCATACTCTTCCCGGGTTAAATCCATATTCCCTCCCAGGTTACATCCATACTCTTTCCTCAGGTTAAATCCATATTCCCTCCCAGGTTACAGCCATACCCCTCCACTGGTTCCAACACGAATGCTCTCCCTGCTACCAGTGTTACAGCAGTGTTACCCAGGTTCGAGACATATGGCCTTGATTATGACCATGCTCCAAAGATAAGACAGACAGTAGATAACCAGTAGTCAACACACAGCCTGGCTTCCATCTTGCTGGGGGAGGGTTCCTGGCCACAGATGCCTTGTGCATGACTCAGGTTACTTCAGAATCGCCTTACATCAGCCCATATTAAACCAGGAACTTGGGGGTTTCATCTCGTACTCTCTGTGAAGGTGTGAGTGTTATGGCTGAGCTGTGTGTGTACATGTGTTAGTGTGTAAGATTGTAGCGAATCATCTAGATCTGTTCACCATCTTCATGGAGATCGTCTAGATCTGCCCAGAGGCTTCTATTTAGCCGTACGACTAATATGAATGAAATAATTCCCAAGTTGCCCCAATTCAAGAATTTATGATAATAAGAACTTTAAGAAATTCAAAATTTAAACAATTATATCAGTATTTTCACAATGCAACTGCCAGAGGCACTGATTTAAAATCCTAGATAAATTCCTTTATAGATTGTACATGTAAACATTGAGTGGATAAGTAGCAAGTAATTGTATCACATTTGAGCATTTATGTTCCAAATATAGTTACATAGCACTTAGTGATGAATCTGAAATGCTGTTCAGAGCTGACTTGACCATGTCACATCAAAATGTGATAGATAATATGTATTGCATCTAGTACAGGTACATGTTGCACCTGGGGCGGTGGGGTAGCCTAGAGGTTAAAGCGTTCGCTCGTCACCCCCAAGGCCCGGGTTCGATTCCCCACATGGGTTCAATGTGGGAAGCCCATTACTGGTGTCCTCCGCCGTGATAAGCCTGGAATATTGCTAAAAGCAGCGTATAACACAACATACTCACTCACTCACTCACTGCACCTGATGCTGGTACATGTTGAACTTGGTTCATGTACATGTTACACCTAATATAGGTATATGTTGCACATGGTATAGGTACATGTTGCACATGGTATAGGTACATGATGCACCTGGTACAGGTACATGTTGCACATGGTATAGGTACATGATGCACCTGGTACAGGTACATGTTGCACCCTGATATAGGTATATGTTGCACATGGTATAGGTACATGTTGCATATGGTACAGGTACATGTTGCACCTGGTATAGGTACATGTTGCACCTGGTATAGGTACATGTTGCACCCTGATATAGGTACATGTTGCACATGGTATAGGTACATGTTGCATATGGTACATGTACATGTTGCACTTGGTATAGGTACATGTTGCACCTGGTAGAGGTACATGTTGTCCTGATATAGGTACATGTTGCACATGGTATAGGTACATGTTGCATATGGTACAGGTACATGTTGCACCTGGTATAGGTACATGTTGCACATGGTATAGGTACATGTTGCATATGGTACAGGTACATGTTGCACCTGGTATAGGTACATGTTGCACATGGTATAGGTACATGTTGCACATGGTATAGGTACATGTTGCACATGGTACAGGTACATGTTGCACCTGGTATAGGTACATGTTGCACCTGGTATAGGTACATGTTGCACCCTGATATAGGTACATGTTGCACATGGTATAGGTACATGTTGCACCTGGTATAGGTACATGTTGCATATGGTACAGGTACATGTTGCACCTGGTATAGGTACATGTTGCACCTGGTATAGGTACATGTTGCACCCTGATATAGGTACATGTTGCACATGGTATAGGTACATGTTGCATATTGTACAGGTACATGTTGCACATGGTATAGGTACATGTTGCACCTGGTATAGGTACATGTTGCATCCTGATATAGGTACATGTTGCACATGGTATAGGTACATGTTGCATATGGTACAGGTACATGTTGCACCTGGTATAGGTACATGTTGCACATGGTATAGGTACATGTTGCACATGGTATAGGTACATGATGCACCTGGTATAGGTACATGTTGCACCCTGATATAGGTACATGTTGCACATGGTATAGGTACATGTTGCACCTGGTATAGGTACATGTTGCACCTGGTATAGGTACATGTTGCACCTGGTATAGGTACATGTTGCACCTGGTATAGGTACATGGTATAGGTACATGTTGCACATGGTATAGGTACATGATGCACCTGGTACAGGTACATGTTGAACTTGGTACGGGTACATGTTGCACCTGGTATAAGTACATGTTGCACATGATATAGGTACATGTTGAACTTAGTGCTGGTACATGTTGCACCTGATATAGGTACAGGTACATGTTGCACCTGATATAGGTACAGGTACATGTTGCACCTGATATAGGTACAAGGTACAGGTACATGTTGCATCTGATATAGGTACATGTTTCACCTGATATAGGTACATGTTGAACTTGGTACGGGTACATGTTGCACCTGGTATAAGTACATGTTGCACCTGATATATGTACATGTTGCACCTGGTATAGGTACATGTTGCATGTTGCACCTGGTACAGGTACATTTTGAATTTGGTGCCGGTGCATCTTATATGCATGTCCTAAGTAATCTCAGTTTTACCTGCCAAAGTTATGTGTTTGTTTATTGTACTTGTAGAGATAGCAAGTTTCTAAATTCAGACTCTCAAATTACACACTCTATTTATATCGATATAGAAAATAACATATTCAGATAACTACTAACAAACAAAATGCAACTTCATCAGAGAGAAAAAAAGGATTTTAAAATAGATCAAGTTTTTGGTGAATGTCTAACTGAGAAGGTACAAGCATAGTGTGATCACTGACACTTGCCCTGCAGACATTCCACAAGTACTTCACAACACACAGATAGCTTACAGAGGAGCTGCTGCTCAAGATAAATTAGAAACCCAAAATAACCACTTCCTCCAAAAGCCAGATTCCTGGTAGAAAATTAAAAGAGTTTTTGTAAATTTGGCATGGAGGGATCCAGCTGTAGCATATCGTAATGATAAAACTCTGTTTATATCACTTGAAGAAAATTGAGCCAACATGATGGGTGACCCCTACGGAAATAACCGCTCCTCCGCTCATACTTCATGTCCAGATCCAAGATAAGCATAATTAAGAGCTGAGAGCATCCTTATAGTCATGGCTATTTTATTTTATCACAGGAAAAGAGCCAATCGTGAATGGAACAGGGCGGGCACCTCCCCCAGTAGCTCCCAAACCTACTCGTCCCTCTGAACGGGCAACAGTCGAGTCTTTGCTGGATGAGCTGGAAGTGTCTGTACCATCCCATCACGGGTAAGTCCCCATTGGGATTTCAAACTTATAATAAGGATTACAGCGTCAAACCTTTCTGTGGGCTCATGTTTATCTTTGATGAAATCATGTTCGATGGTTTTGTCTCTTTTCAAGTGCATTTTATGTGAAAAAAACTTAAGTTGACTGATGAAACCGACATTGTCATACCTGTGATGTTACTGGTATTTTTCCTTACATCCAGTGTAAACCTTTAAATGAACTCTTAAAGATTTGTATTCATTTTGGGCAAGATTGATCAAGAAGTCTCATAAATATGTAAGACTATCTGCTTGGTGTCGGTTTTCAGAGCTGGTAACGACCTTGGTCATTACTCTGGACCCACCTCTCCCCATGGCCAAGTAAGAGGAGGTCCCCCTGCCCCTAACGGCCACCCAGGAGATGCTCCCCCCACCCCAGGGGCATCTACAGCTACCAAGGAGCTGGATGATCTTATGGCATCATTGTCTGAGTTTAAGGTAAGGTCTCAGCTCTGTGTTTTCAGTTTTATCGAACATGCCAGTCATCAAGAAGTAACTTTTCTTTTCCTGATAAGTTATCAGTTTTCAGATATTAATATCTCTGTGTTGTGTTGATCTCAAACTTGCTTCTCTTTCTGATGAGTTGCCAGCTCTCCAGGGAGCTAAAACTTCTGATAGGATGGATGAAACTTCGGAGCTTTGATGGTATTTAGGAATGATCTCCTCTTGGAGTGTACAGATATGTTTTAGTTAATGTCTACTTGAGGGATTTATTAGCTGTAAGGCTAACATCACTGTCAGAGAGCACCTGTTGTAGGAAGCAGAGTTTACCATACTATGTCAGGTTATCTCATGTACAGTTTGTAAGCCAGCAGGTTCTTGTTCCTGTGAGTCAGTCAGACATGCTGGTTCCTCTGTTGTACATGGAGTCAGCCCATTAGTCAGCAGGTGCCTGTTCCTCTGTTGTCCATGGAGTCAGCCCATTAGTCAGCAGGTGCCTGTTCCACTGTTGTCCGTGGAGTCAGCCCATTAGTCAGCAGGTGCTTCTTCCTCTGTTGTACATGGAGTCAGCCTGTTAGTCAGGAATGCTTGTTTCTCTGTTATACAGGGAATTTACCCATGAGGTAGCAGTTACTTCTTCTTCTTTTGTACATGGAGTCAGCCTGTTAGTCAGCAGGTGCCTGTTCCTCTGTTGTACATGGAGTCAGCCCATTAGTCAGCAGGTGCCTGTTCCTCTGTTGTCCATGGAGTCAGCCCATTAGTCAGCAGGTGCCTGTTCCACTGTTGTCCGTGGAGTCAGCCCATTAGTCAGCAGGTGCCTGTTCCTCTGTTGTACATGGAGTCAGCCTGTTAGTCAGGAATGCTTGTTTCTCTGTTATACAGGGAATCTACCCATGAGGTAGCAGTTACTTCTTCTTCTTTTGTACATGGAGTCAGCCTGTTAGTCAGCAGGTGCCTGTTCCTCTGTTGTACATGGAGTCCGCCCATTAGTCAGCAGGTGCCTGTTCCTCTTTTGTACATGGAGTCAGCCCATTACTTAGCAGGTGCCTGGTTCTCTGTTGTCCGTGGAGTCAGCCCATTAGTTAGCAGGTGCCTGTTCCTCTGTTGTACAGGAAGTCAGCTTGTTAGTCAGGAATGCTTGTTTCTCTGTTATACAGGGAATTTACCCATGAGGTAGCAGTTACTTCTTCTTCTTTTGTACAGGAGTCAGCCTGATAGTCAGCAATGCTTGTTCCTCTTTCGTACAGGGAGTCCGTCCATTAATTAGCAGGTGCTTTTTCCTCTGTTGTACAGGGAGTGAGTCCAATAGTTAGCAGGTGCTACCACTTCTACAGAAGAGTAGGTTTTGGGTTTAGAACCCTGGAAAACTGACTGGCTGTTACCTCTACAGTCATACTACCAAGTCCAAGACTTTTAATGTGACATGTATCACCCATGTTAGGCTGTTGAAAAGATTGTTTGATATCTGAAAGTGAAAGTGTATTTTTAATGTTAAATTCTGTTTTTCACAGCTTCAAAACAAGCCTCAACAAGCAAGTGTAGAACCAGCATACGCAAAGCCAAACAAAGGTACTGGACGTCAGGTGACCCCAACCAGCCCCATGAACCCAAGTATTCCTTCACCCAACCAGTTGGAGACCATGCTTGGGGACCTGCAGTCTGACATGAACAAACAAGGGGTCAGCACCAAGACTAAGGGTGTGTGTGCTGCCTGCAACCAACCCGTCGTGGGCCAGGTGAGCTATTACAGATGATACAAGGGTGTAACAAATGGTGGTCAGCACCAAGACTAAGGGTGTGTGTGCTGCCTGCAACCAACCCGTCGTGGGCCAGGTGAGCTATTACAGATGATACAAGGGTGTAACAAATGGTGGTCAGCACCAAGACTAAGGGTGTGTGTGCTGCCTGCAACCAACCCGTCGTGGGCCAGGTGAGCTATTACAGATGATACAAGGGTGTAACAAATGGTGGTCAGCACCAAGATTAAGGGTGTGTGTGCTGCCTGCAACCAACCCGTCGTGGGCCAGGTGAGCTATTACAGATGATACAAGGGTGTAACAAATGGTGGTCAGCACCAAGACTAGGGTGTGTGTGCTGCCTGCAACCAACCCGATGGAGTGGGCCAGGTGAGCTATTACAGATGATACAAGGGTGTAACAAATGGTGGTCAGCACCAAGACTAAGGGTGTGTGTGCTGCCTGCAACCAACCCGTCGTGGGCCAGGTGAGCTATTACAGATGATACAAGGGTGTAACAAATGGTGGTCAGCACCAAGATTAAGGGTGTGTGTGCTGCCTGCAACCAACCCGTCGTGGGCCAGGTGAGCTATTACAGATGATACAAGGGTGTAACAAATGGTGGTCAGCACCAAGATTAAGGGTGTGTGTGCTGCCTGCAACCAACCCGTCGTGGGCCAGGTGAGCTATTACAGATGATACAAGGGGTGTAACAAATGGTGGTCAGCACCAAGACTAAGGGTGTGTGTGCTGCCTGCAACCAACCCGTCGTGGGCCAGGTGAGCTATTACAGATGATACAAGGGTGTAACAAATGGTGGTCAGCACCAAGACTAAGGGTGTGTGTGCTGCCTGCAACCAACCCGTCGCGGGCCAGGTGAGCTATTACAGATGATACAAGGGTGTAACAAATGGTGGTCAGCACCAAGACTTAAGGGTGTGTGTGCTGCCTGCAACCAACCCGTCGTGGGCCAGGTGAGCTATTACAGATGATACAAGGGTGTAACAAATGGTGGTCAGCACCAAGACTAAGGGTGTGTGTGCTGCCTGCAACCAACCCGTCGTGGGCCAGGTGAGCTATTACAGATGATACAAGGGTGTAACAAATGGTGGTCAGCACCAAGACTAAGGGTGTGTGTGCTGCCTGCAACCAACCCGTCGTGGGCCAGGTGAGCTATTACAGATGATACAAGGGTGTAACAAATGGTGGTCAGCACCAAGACTAAGGGTGTGTGTGCTGCCTGCATGCAACTCTTTAAACCTGACACCAGGATTATTAATGGAACCATAGGCTTCTGTTGAGGTTTTTGTTAGAACAATTTAACTAAATGTTAAATAGTAGAGTAGGTTGTCCACAACAGTTACCTCAGAGGAAGGTGAAAAATTGATGCAAAGGCAGAGCAGTCCTTTCTAAAAAACACGAAGGGCCATTTACTCCTTGATACAAAGATAACAAAATATTTTGTCAACAAGTTTCACTTTTTAATGCTTCATTAATGCATTTATGAAGAGGATAGCAGTTAAAATCAGTCCCCAGCAGCCATGTTTACCATACACGGCCTCTGAATGGGTAACTTGGTTGTCATCATATCCCAACAGAGTGGGTCGTTGCTCATGTCAGTCACTGGTTTGTCTGGTCCAGACTCAAATATTTACAGGTCGACATCACAAACGTAGCTGAAATATTGCTGAATACAGCGTCATTTAACCAAACCAACTTTCAAAGAGATTTATTTCTGGCTTATACAACTGATTATTCTATAGTACTGGAGGTGGTTGAGAGTCTAGTGATATAAAAGAATTGGGAAGTTCTTAAGTGTTTTTGAGTTGTGTAGTAAAAAGTGTAAACAGTAAAAAGTGTAAGTATAGTCTAGCCATGGAGTCTGGAGTGAAGTGCAGGAATGAAGACTGAGTGTCATGATGTTGATTGTGGTCATATGTTGATGTTGTTTTGAATATCTGCAGGTAATCACAGCCCTGGGGAAGATCTGGCATCTTGAGCACTTCACCTGTAGTCACTGTAACGATACACTCGGGACTAAGAACTTCTACGAGCGCGACAATCAGGCCTTCTGTGAGAGAGACTACCATGAACTGTTTGCACCACGATGTGGCTATTGCAGTGGACCCATTGTAGATGTAAGTATGCACACACACTTGTACATAGGTGAAACCATCGTAGATATTATGCATCTTTACACATACAGTAGAACATGGATATAGCGAACACGGATATAGCGTACAAACAGATATAGCGAACAAATTTAAAAGTCCTGTCAATAGCCCTTTATAATATCATTAAAATTATACCCGAATAACGAACTCGTGAGTAGCAAATTAACGGCTATAGCAAACTGATTTACCACCCCCAAGACCCAATTAATGACGTGATTAGCGAACTCACTCAGTGTCAGCTCAGCCACTTAGCGGTATACATCAACCTTGTTGGCGGTGAATCAACATTGTTTGATGGTCATTAATTAATTAACAGGCAAACGTAAAGCTATCACCTTTGACACCAAGCTTCAGATAATTCAGGCTGTAGATTCAGGTGTAAAGACAAACATTTGCTTTCAACTTTGGCATTCCAAAATCCACTCTCAGTTCCATTATTAAGAATCGCGAATCTATTCTTGCAAAATCTGTGTCTACTGATTTTGGCCCCACCCGAAAAATAGTTAAGAGATGCCAATCACCAAGATGTAGAAGATTTGTAACCTCAGCATATACATGTCTCTACATTTCTACAATCCAAGATGGTGGTCAAATGTGACTAACGAACAACGGATATAGCGAACTAAATTTCTTGGTCCCTTGGAGTTCGTTATATCCATGTTCTACTGTATATGAATAGTGAACACATTGTAGATCTGATATAGATGTACATGCACATTCACTCTCGCAGGGTATTTTGGTAGGATCTGTTTCAGTAAGATTGGTTTGGATTACTTGACTTCTGGTATCAGGAAATATGGAATAGGTTTGTCAATAATTAGTTTCCATATTTCTGAGAAGACCACCTGTGAAGATCTGGGTTAGAGGTGGTGTTCAGCAACCCTTGCTTGTCATAAAGGGCGACCAATGGGATCGGGCATCAGGCTCATTGACTTGGTTGGCACATGTTATTGTATCCCAACTGCGTAGATCGATGCTCATGATGATCACTGGATAGTCTGGTCCAGAAATATTTTTTTACAGACTACCGCCATATAACTGGAATATGTTTGAGTGCAGTGTTAAACAATATACAGACAAACAAGTGTTCTGAGCAGTCAGTTGGGATTACAGTTCTGCTGTCGGTGACAGGAAGACAGAACTAACTATTAGAACTAAGCTGTCCAGTTAGATATCTTGTTACTGAACTTTGTACTCCTGCTTTGTATCAGAAATGTATCACGGCTCTGGGTAAGACCTGGCATCCAGAGCATTTCTTCTGCACCAAGTGTGGCCGCCCATTTGGGGAGGAGGGATTCCATGAAAAGGACGGGAAAGCATATTGCAGGTAGGTTGTTGTTGACCGTTGACCGATATTGTAGATTGGTGTGATTTGTTGACATTTAGAGGATTGTAGATGGGTGTGCTTGTTAACCATTAGAGGATTAAGAGACTTTTCTGAGTTTCATCTTCTTTTATTGTAAAACCCAGAAAAGTCTCTCTGTATATCAAATAGCATCTTCTAAAATGCCAATCAAACATCCATTTGAGGATTGTAGATGGGTGTGCTTTGTTGTAGATGGGTGTGCTTGTTAACCATTAAAGGATTGTAGATGGGTGTGCTTGTTAACCATTAAAGGATTGTAGATGGGTGTGCTTGTTAACCATTAAAGGATTGTAGATAGGTGTGCTTGTTAACCATTAAAGGATTGTAGATGGGTGTGCTTGTTAACCATTAAAGGATTGTAGATGGGTGTGCTTGTTAACCATTAAAGGATTGTAGAATGTGTAGATGGTGTCACACTTGTTAACCATTAAAGGATTGTAGATGGGTGTACTTGTTAACCATTAAAGGATTGTAGATGGGTGTACTTGTTAACCATTAAAGGATTGTAGATGGGTGTACTTGTTAACCATTAAAGGATTGTAGAATGTCTTTGCACTGGTATCTGTCACTGACTCCTATGTGTCATAATGTTCAATGTTTTGTGTCCAGGGATGACTACTATGAGATGTTTGCTCCGAAGTGTGGCGGTTGCTGCAACCCCATCATGGACAACTACATCACCGCACTGAACCGCCACTGGCATCCCGAGTGCTTCGTCTGCTGGGTAAGAATCTGTTACTTGATCTCTCTGTGACGTTCATATGTCTGCACTACAATATCTTTGACCATTGTGACAGCTTTCAACACTGTCACACGAATGTATTAAATCTGCTGTCACAGCTTCAGTCACTGTAACACTAGTCTGTAAAATCTGTTACATCGATCACGTTAACCTGTCGCAGTAGTCCACCTGTTCTGTGACGTCACACAATATTTGCATGATTTTTTATTAATATGGTCAGTTGATAGCCCAGCAGTTAACCCAGATTGTTGCTCCAGGTCCAGGTTTTGTTCCTCATCGGGGTACAACAGTGTGTGAAGCCTGTTTGTTGTCTACTGTGATACTGCTGGAATGTTCCACAGATTGCAGAAACAAACTCACTCACCTCACTCATTGAACAATATCACTGAAATTTCATCAAACGTCTGACTTAATACTTATGATTCATGAATTTCTTTTGAAAGATTCAGTTGAGAAATTTCATCAACCTTTGACTCCAAGCCTGTTGTTTGTTCCAGGATTGCCGAAGCCCGTTCGGAGGAGGTAGTTTCTTTGACCACGAGGGGCTACCCTACTGCGAAACTCACTACCACTTAAAACGAGGCTCTCTCTACGCCAGCTGTCAGAAGCCCATCACAGGAAGGTGCATCACGGCCATGTTTAAAAAGTTCCACCCCGAACACTTTGTGTGCGCCTTCTGTTTAAAGCAGCTGAACAAGGGGACATTCAAGGACCAGGGCGACAAACCCTACTGTCATCCCTGCTTCGTCAAGCTGTTTGGCTGAATTACCAGCCAGTGTTCAAACATGTCTTCCAGGACTGCCATGTGTCATGCCCTGACCAGCTTCCGGCTGACCACACACATGCACATTGGCACACCACATGCAGCCAGTTCTGCAGTTATTTGTATGCAGAGGAAGTAACTTTCTACGCTATGCTTTTTCAGTTATTGGAAATCTCTAAGATTCAAAATGATGTTATGGATTTGCTAGTGTGATAATTCCAAGTCGGAGGCAGCCAGATAAAGACCAGAAAGTAGCCACAACCCTCTGGTCGACTTTGTGTGACATGGTGTCATTGGTTACAGACTCCGGGATATATATACCATACACATATACCTAGGTGTGGGATACGGAGGTACCAAGTACTTGGATGATGCAGGAAATACACGAAGGATACATAGGTACTGAGTACTTGAATGATACTGCAGGATACAAGTACTTGATACTTACACTCGCCACAGGTCCTGGCAGGCAGAGATACATGATACAGGTACCATGATACTGAACAGGACTACAAGCACTGGATACTTACACTAGCCACAGGTCCTGGCAGGCAGAGATACATGATACAGGTACCATGATACTGAACAGGACTACAAGCACTGGATACTTACACTGGCCACAGGTCCTGGCAGGCAGAGATACATGATACAGGTATCATGATACTGAACAGGACTACAGGACACTGACAAAGGTTTTTGCTGACTGATGCAGAGATAAAGGCAAACTAGATGCAGGTAATGAGATTAGGACCAACTCAAACATGGTACAGATACAGAAGATACAACGATACTTCTACACCTACCATGATTCCAATACCGACTGTATGTACAAAGATGCAATGATTTAGGATATTAGTCCCGAAACACCTACTGAAACAAAATGGATGCCTGTATAGAGATGTGTGATGCTTGAATTCAGACTGCCTGAATCTGAACTGTCTGAACTGTCCCAGTCGGTGTCCTCCACTGCAGCAACTCAGCTCTGACATCTCCGAGTCATCATACGGAAGTTATTTTTATTATGGAGTATATTTCCTACAAGTCAACCGGTACACCCTCCTCAATCAGAAACAGTTGTGAGTGCAAGTCTTTGTTTCAATGTTTCATCTGGAATATCAATACCATCGAGAACCTGCTTGTCAGAAAGTTGTATGCTTTGCTTGTTAAATGATATTTTCCACACCAACAATGTCAGTGACCTTTGGTATTTTTAAGTGTCCAATTCAAAACAACTGACCATACCATAATATATATGGACACGGTCATGCTTTCTCCAAACCACATGACAGATGAAAACGTGGATTACCTTGACTGACATGACCTGCGAGTTTATTAGGTGGATACAGAACTCCAGTACCAAAAGTGGTTCCAGCAAACCGGTTCCAGCAAACCAGTTCCAGTAAACTGGTTCCAGTAAACTTGTATGTGTGAGCCAGTACCTGTCTTCAAGATGCCAAGCCTACACTTCGTCACTTCGTTGCCTGCTGATTGGCAGCCTGCAGTTGGTTGTCAGGAATACTGCATGTGTCTTTTTCTTTCTGTTACCTTACGACTACCTATGGAAACAAACATCATATGCCTTATTTTACTCTTTCTCATGACACTTGACTTCCCAGTATCTTTCATCAGCTAGCAATAAGTTTGGCTTGCTGAGCCCTGTCAAAGGGAGACAATCCTTTTCTATCCGAGAGATGTTGTGCTCAAAGGGAGGCAACTCTTCTCACTCAAACAAGGGAGTCCTGAAAATGACTATCAATCATCACTTCTGAAATCAAACTTTGTGCATATTGTGATTGTATTATAATCAACATTACAACTGGTAGCATTTATCAATGTTATATATGTTTCTGAGATATGACATAGCCTGTTGCTTTGTGTAACCTTCTGCCATTCATTTCTGAAATGGATATATAGAATTATGTACATAAAACACACTTGTTTGGTGTTTGTTGACCCGACACAGTTTTAACACAGTTGATTAATTGTGCATTGTGTAAAAAGGAAGGGAGGTAACTCTTGCTTGGTATTTATATTGTGATATTTATAGCTGCTTCTATGCAGATAGACAAACTGGCACAGATACTTCATTGACAGATGCATCTTTATGTGCTCTACACTGATAACCCACAGGTGATTATTGACACTAAACTATGGCTTTTGTAAACAACCTCATAATGAACTGATAAATATAATAAACTGTTTAGGGGTCTCTGCCATTTGCTTTACATTTTAGTCCGAAAGGTGTATGAAATACAATTATGATAAACTAAAATTTATTGTCAATTAGAGTTTCGAAATATTTTTTATCGAAATTAATGAAACTTAATAGCCGGTTGGGTGGAACAGTGGTTAAAACATTAGCTTGTCACACCAAAGACCCAGGTTCGATCCCACACATGGTTACAATGTGTGAAGCCCATTTCTGGGCATAAAACCTAACTCACTCACTCGCTCACTCTATCTGCACCTTGCCTTCTGACTTTATTTGTTCTGCAATGCTGAAGTGCCAAAACCTTCTGTTAATGGACCCACTCCTATTGAACCAGCACCATCCACTCCTTTAGTTGTAACACACACTTTATCTGACACTTGATATGATAACAAGGTGCTATTATCTATTATGAAGTGATTTCTCTTTCTTCCCCTCCCCCCCAAAAAACCCCCTAACAAAACAACAACAAACAAACCAAAGATAAATAAACAAGAGAGAGAGAGGAATGCTTTTTTAGATGATGTAATCTGTCAATTGGATTTGTACAAATATGATGCAGTACATGTATTTATCTCCATCTCCGTCACCAGGGTTGGTCAGAAAATGTTCTTTCCCCAAAGTCCGGTTCCATTCTCCACATAGGTATAATGTTAGAAGCTCATTCTGGTGTCCCCAGATATTCTGTTGGTGAATAATGCTAAAATGACCTAAAACCACGCTCGCTCAATTTGCACAATGCCGTCACAAGTAGTTGAACTGGCTTGATCCAGGTCCTTGTGTTATTATCTGCAGAAATGTTGACTACACAGGCGATAAATTTTTTTTCATATCACTGCGTATTGCACTTTTGTACCACATGATGAGTCCCCTGTTTCTGTTCTTTAGTGAATGAATGAATTGTTCATGCCTTTATTTTCAAAAGTTTTGATCTCTTAACATTAGTGAAGTATTGCATGCATAATGTCAGCGATTGAAGTCATTTGTTCAAAGTTTGAATGTTATTTCAGACTTGTATGTGTTTTTACTTTCATTGATATGTCCATGTTTAATTTTATATCTTTTATGATAAATATTGAGCTTTTATATATGATTGCTGAAGTGCTACTTGTAACCATGGTAACATTTTTTCTGGGACAATATGATCTTGTGATAGACCACTGAATACTTGCCTTACTGACGTCTCAGTTGATAAATGATGATTACAGCATACAGGCCAATCCTTGTGGAACTTACACGCATGTAATGACCGTTCTCTGTACAGATGATTATAGGGGCTAGTTTCACTATTGCAGTTCCCACCCTTTTGCAATAGTACTGCAATAGCATTATAAAATAGTTGTCAGCTATTGCAATAGTACTGCAACAGTATTAAACCAGCGCTAAGGCTTGATAGATGTATTAAATCAGTTTTATAGAAATGAATATATTGCAGTTGCTTATCACGCAAGGGGAAGTAACTCTTACCTGCAGTTAAAATTTGATTGTAAAAAGTGAGTACTCTGACACTCTGTGTTATATTTATTACTAATTGTGAATGTTGAAATTATCAGTTGTTATACATACAATAGGCAATACCATTGACATTTTAAATTCCTTTCAATATTAGGGCAAACAATGCAGAGTGTGAGGTATCATATTTGTAACTCGGGGTACTTTACATCTCACTGGAAAATAATAGTAGACCATGTAACATACCACTCCTTGAAAACAGGTTGGAGACGCATTGCTGTCGAATAAACATCATTCCCAATTATCCTCTATATTTTGATATTAAAACATCCTCAAACCTGCCCATTTTGGAAGTGACAATATCATCACCATTTTTAACTTCTGGAAAACTCCAGCACAGATGTCATCAAACTTGACCAGGAAGTACTGTTACCTGACCTAATTTGGATATAGATCAACAGAAAAATTGCAGTCAAGTACAAAGGAGAATGTGATACTATTTTATTGTATCAGATGACTTATGAATAAATTTTTAGCAGATGTGAGACAGGATTTTCCCTGTACAGCAGGCTGTTCCAAGCAATGGGGTCAGTTTCAATTGTAAAAGAACAGTGTTAATTGATTCCAGGGTTGTTTTGGTGTCAATTCATACAGACCACTCTCCTAATGAAGCTGGTAGCCAGGGCTACTATAGTAGAATGGGAATATGATAGCCAGGGCTACTATAGTAGAATGGGAATATGGTAGCCAGGGCTACTATAGTAGAATGGGAATATGATAGCCAGGGCTACTATAGTTGAATGGGAATATGATAGCCAGGGCTACTATAGTAGAATGGGAATATGGTAGCCAGGGCTACTATAGTAGAATGGGAATATGATAGCCAGGGCTACTATAGTAGAATGGGAATATGTTTTCAGGGATAGCCAGGGCTACTATAGTAGAATGGGAATATGATAGCCAGGGCTACTATAGTAGAATGGGAATATGATAGCCAGGGCTACTATAGTAGAATGGGAATATGATGCTGGAAATATTGAACTAAGGATCAACACGAAGGATTAGTGTTACAACTCTCTGATACAAGCGGTCTTCACAATAACAACCAGTGGGAGCCAGGTGGTCCTCATCTAGTAAAGCCGCCACAGCTGTATGGAGTCCTGGGAATGTACCTATTGTGGGTACGAATCCCATTTCACCTCACCTAGGGTTGAAGGGTAGCCTATTTGTTAAAGCATCCTTTTGTCACGCTGAAGACCCGGGTTCGATTCCCCACATGAGTACAGCGTGTGAAGACAATTTCTGGTGTCCTCTGTCGTGATATGTCTGGAATATTGCTAAATGCGACGTAAAACCATACTCACTCACTCACTCACTCATTTAACTCCTATATCGTTCCAGGGTTGGTCAGCACCGTAACTATGCCCATCAAAGTGGTAACGGTGTCAGGCCTGCATCAGCTTGGTCCACTCACCTACATCAAGCTGACATTCCTTGAAATCTAGACTATTGCTGAGAGTCAAACACCCAACAAACAATGAAAACTGGAATACTGTTAAAAGCAGAGACCATATTGTAAGATTTTATTATATGGTCTATGTTGAAAGGCAGTCTTATGCTTTTCTTTTGGTGTTATCTTAGAACTATTATTTCCTAAACAAGGCTTAAATCTTTTTGCGGAAAAATCAAATAACATTTCACTTTAAAACTGTACCTACTTTTCATATCTAACAAGTTGTCCAAAACAGGAAGGTGTATGCATATCTGTTCAAGAGATGAAATTGTTTGTGAAGTTGTCAGGCGAAAACCTTGAGGTAATCAATTGTTGAAGCCTGCATCTGCTTCACCATTTGT